TTTCATCACCCATTGCAACGCGGCGGTAAACAGCTTTGGCGACACGGTGTCGCCTTGTCGAACCCCCTTCGAGATATTTGTCCTTCAAAAGACAGGAGTTTGAGCAAGAGACACTGCTTTTCCCAGCCTACTAGCTAAACTTCTCCCTAATCGAGTACCATGATTTGAGAAAATTTCGGTAAATTTCTGTGCAAGAAATGAGACAGGCAATGCCGAGTCAGACTGCAGTCTTTGCTTAGCTTAAAGATAGATTTTGATTCTAGAATTTGTGTATTAAGATAGATAAATAATATATAATATATAATAACAAAAATACGCTTTTCATGTAACCTCAATAGGATGTAGAGCAACACATTTCGTAGAGAAAGGCGTAACAAGTCTCAGATAACTACCAGATAGTTAACAAATAGTACGCATTTATGCAACCATCGTGGTACTTCACAGTTGTCACACAGTAATGTTCAAGCAGGCGTGACCATTTATGTTTCTGAAATAATGTTATCTGCTACATACTGTTTTCGTTGCATTCACTACATAATCCGGTCTTCGGCGCTCGTTCACTGATGATGAGTACATAATACGCAACATCGTCCGATTAATAACTTTCACCAGCTCTGCATTGATCCGAATTTGTTATTCTAGCAGATTGCTAATTCCATTTTCTCATTTCCAGCGGAGCATTCCAAATTGGCTCATATTAAAACGCCTTTTCTAAAACTTCGCTTTGTTCATAGCAACATACGTTGCTGTGGTGCTCATATCCTCGCTGGCTGCCCGGTCCTTCTTTCTTAATCTAAGATATAACGCGGGAAACATGATCAAGGTTATGCTTTAATCAAAACTCCAGAACTTGTATGAAACTCCTAATGGTCACAAACTCTGCAATTCCCCAACTAGTTTGTTTCACGCCCAAAACAGAATCGAATAAGCACCTTTACACTAGTTATAATTAGCGCAGGTATTTTCAGAAACAAAGTCCTTAAACCCCTCATGTCGCTATGAAAACCTCATTTCAGCGGAGGAACGATTATAGGGTCCATTGAGTACTACCCTACAACATGTCCCATTTTTTAGAATTTATTTTTATGCATGTCTCCTTCAATTCCTTTCCATAGTTTTCAATGGATGTGATTTTAGTTCTTGGCCTTTATATTCATGTATAAACACAAAGATATAGAAATATTTCAGAAAGGACAAAAAAAGGAAAAAGATAGAAAGAAGGGCACGCAAAGGCGGTATCGTAATTTTGTTACACTCTGGAAAGGATGTAGAATAACTATTTGGGAATACCCTGTCTTAGGCTTGCTCTTCAATCCATATAAATATAAACAAAACTCATTTGTATTCTGTGAAACTTTTAGTACCGTCTGTACATCACTTTTTGCATACTCTATTTTGTGTATCAATTGAAACCTTGTGGTTCGATCACGTTTTCTCTTTGCACATCTATATAAACTAGTTTATAGCAAATAAGACTATTAAATAAAATGCTATGCAAGTAGTCGGCAAAGCCTTGAGTAATTTTTCTGCCCTTCACCTCCGAACAACAGTTTATTGTGTTTGTAAATTTAATCTCTTGTACTCATTTTCAATTATGGTTTTATGGCCAACATAAGATATAATAGCTGACAAACAAATGAGTGCTCAAATCCACTTACTTATTTAATCACTTAATTCACTTACTTATTTAATTTACTAATCCATTACCTGTTTACTTTGTGCAGCACATCATGACCCGCTCTCAACATTTAGATGAATTCTTTGGACCAGAATGGATCGGTCGTACAAAAAGGGAAAGCAAATCCTTTTGTATCTTTGAATGCAGGAACGAAAAGACTCATCAACAACATATGCATGAAAAGCCAAAGGAATATGATTAAATTCGTAGAGATGGTAAGTGGAATCTTTTTTGAAATTGAGGAAACGTTTTATCAAACATGAAACTTTCAAGGCAGTTTGTATAACGTCACTAGTCCTAGTTGCGATTTCAAATCCGGTCTGGAATGAAAGGGACATGGTTTTGCTCGTGTGCTCTGTTGCCTTGCTTGGATCTTTCGCCTTTTTAGTCAGCTACATCTTCGCTTTTGATGAGCTTATCTCATCGACTCCATGGTTCATAGTTGTAAGTGATATTCTTCTTCTTTAGTATTTAAGAAGAATTCTTGCTTGATCAGGAAGCCACATATGGTAGCGTTTTTGCTGTTGCTTTATTTACCTGTGCACTAGCCTTCCTCATCATAACCTCTTCTCATTGGGCCGACGTCAATCCCTTACGGCAAGCAATAGCTGCTTTCGCTGCTGTCAGTTTGCCCTACTAAGTAAAGTTCTTCGCTTGAATGTAAAAATTTGAAATATTCAGGGTTCAATGCTTGTTTGTTCACTACTGCACGTTATCGATGTTTTGCTATTGATCATAAATTGGAAGCGATATTCTTGGGATCCTAATGGAGAGGAGATTTTGACGCGATATGATACTACTCTGTAACCTGCTCAAAAGAAGTTTACTTACATATCGCAACTCCCATAGCTTTAAAAAATGAATAAATCTTAATGCTATAATCACATATGTAGTTTCAAAGAGATTCTTCTCGAGAACCCATGAATGCTCGTCTAAAAATGAATTTAATTGTCCCGATATCTTATTTTCTTATCTTTTATTGCTGGCACACAAGAGGCGAGGTTCATTGACAGGCTCAACTCGTCGAGAAGAAGCCGTACTTCAGGGGACACCTCAATGAGTGCGTGCGTAAGCCATTCCTATATATCTTCAGCGTAAACCAATCTTCTATAAAAATCTTGCATTTATGCAGTCTGAGTCTAGGAAATTGTCCTACCAGCAAAGAAGTTTATCTGGAATTTCTTGAGAAGAGCGCAATAGTAAAAACCACGAAGTGCTGTATATTTGAGAGGCTTTCTTATTCGGTGGCAACGAGCCGTGACTAACTATTCATAACGCTGCTATCGTTCTTCGACAATGGCCTTGATTTCACTGCAAAAAATACAAAAAAAAA